AAAAAATAGTCCAGAAGTATAACAACTTTTCCAATTTTTAAGTAGAGGTACAGCTACCAAGGAACATGACCAAATACTTCATGCATTATAAGGCTTTTCCACGTGAAAATGATATAATCTGTTTTGTTCCAAGCATTATATTACCAACAGATTGAAGGAGATGTTCAGCATCACAAAAGCAACCACTTTTATCGATATTCAAATTTCTATAGAACAAGACAACAAGTAATTAATTGTAAGTGCTTCACTTCTATACAAAAAGTTCTGCAAAATGCTCAATACCCGAAATGAACATGGACAATAAGCATCAAAAATTTTCAAGAGCAGACCATCACATTAGCCATAAATGCTACCAGAGAATTTATAAATTCAGTGCATAAATAATTAATTCGATGACTGAGACTATGGAACAGCATATATCATCATAAGATCTATCTCGTAGAAAGCATCACTAATGATATAAGGTGTGGAAAATTTTCAAAATCAAGCAAAACAGCAATTTTCAACAGGCAAAGCTCATAACATCATGGACGTCCTTTCTTAAATCTTATAGGGTTTTCTTACGAAGTAAGAAAGCCATTTTGACTAGGGTTCAAAATATGTAAGCCATTTATAAATCAATTACAAGAAAAGATTTCGTGAATGATAAGGTAAGAAGGTAGGCACGGCTATTTTAAACTCCTATGAAGCAAGCACAAGGGCATGTCGAGATACAAGGAGGAGAGTTGCTAATTCGCCTACTTTTCAAATCTTTTTTTGGTGAATACTCGAGTCAATGAAAACTTACAGACTAACATGGCCTCAAATTAGCATCGCCTTTTCGCAGTGCAATTGATGTAAAAATTTGTCGCATGTTCCAAGAAATTGATATAGAATATAGAAATGCGCATGGAGACATTAAACATGACAATCAGTAAAACACTTAGGCTGAGGCAAAAGCATGCAAGATTTTGAAGTTTTTGGATTGAAACTTAGACAATAACAATGAGAAAAGTAATACTAGCAATGATACCTAGCGAAGTAATAGCAAAAACAAAATATTTTTGAAAATTAAAGACATAAATATTATTTTCTCTTAAACTCAAAAGCGCTAATATGGAGAAGCAGTGACTATGGGAAGACAATCAAATATATCGCAGATTTCTCGTTTTCGCGAAGTCATGGCCGTAGAGGTATAGGTATAGGGTTCTTCGGCTCGCACTGCAAACTAATCACTTGCAGACATTTTGAATATTTTTAATTGAAAGTAATACTCATGTATTTAGTGAAAGCTTCGGAAAATACCACATGCTATTGAGTTCCACCTAAGGATTTTTCAACAAAAAACTGGTGCATGCTTTCGGCTTAACCTAATATTATTATTACTACATACTTTAATAAATTACTTTGAGATCAATAAACTATTTTGTACATCTCACGCAGACGCCTGCAGTATCAGAACAACGATAAAAGAAAGTTGAGCCTCTTTTCTATGTCCTTGGTAGAGTAAGAGATCTTTTGCGTCAGTGCCTTCACAACATCTTCGCTACTTCCCTCAACACTATTGTAGGTCTTCAAAATCATAATGTCCAATTCTTTTGTCCAAAGGGGCTCCTAAAAAAGTAGATATCAAGAAATCATTTTTGGGGGTAACGCAAAAACATACTTGTACTTCACAACTGAACAACTGACACTCACTTTCGGCTCTTTGTTTTCCACTGAATCCTCTTTTTCTTTCGTAACCAATACAGGCAGATATGTACCATTCTGAAGAGAATTGAGCTGGCCCCCAGCAACCTGAATTTCTCCTTTTTTTCCAGAAAAACACTGAAATTTCGAATCTGCAAAAAAACCTGTAGCAGTCCTCCTTTTCTAGGAGGAAGTGTCCCAAGCACAGCATTCAGATCGTCAATACATTCAGCACCATCGTCTTCCACCAGCTCACACTCTGTCCGCTTGCGCAAGTCAATGAACTCGAAATCGGCAGGTGTAACGCTCAAATAAAACCCTGATAGCTTTAATAAAGCGCATAAAAAGTTTGAGAGAAGATTAACAGCCTTTCAATTGAAGACTAAATATCGTCGGAGCCAAATATCCGTAATGGGTTGTGTTTATTGATCGAAAAAGAATAGGGACGTTCTTTATATGATTTTATCGTGGAAACAATCCAGAAATTTACAGGATCATAGAGCAATTTTTGAGTGAGTGGTATTTCATGAAATCCCACACTGACACAATTTAATCTTACTTTTCTTCATAAGGTAGTGGAAGCCACTGTCGGATGTAATTCCACAGTGGTCGCTCGTTACTCAGCAGGTCAGATAAGCGATCACAAAAATCTGATTCGCTCAAAGCTTGGCCTAAAATGATTGCGCAGATCTAAAAAATGACCCCAAAAGACAAATAGTTTCTCACCCATGGTGCCAATAGTTTTTAACAGACTTCTCGTATTTGAGCTTCGAGATCGTGTGCCATTGCAGTAAGCCTAAACAATTCTAATTACATTTAGTAAGTAAAAATAGGAAGGGTAGTACTTCGATGGCTAATAACATCTGTACAGCTCCATGATAGCCTCTTCTCAAAGGACTTGTGAGCAGCTCAGGAGGCAATATTGAGTCGTCAGTCAACAGTGATAGCAACGCCAGCACATCTGCATGCTTTGGCAACAAAGCTGCTTTCAAACGATCAAATTGCTAAAAGAGAGCACATTCAAAAACAGCCTATAAGAAAGCCTATTCAAGGATTCTTATACCACTAACCGCTTCTAGATTATCGTCGCCCAGCACAATTTTTTCTATGGTGCGCCATACATCTTGATGCATGAACGTGCGCTGTCTTATATCATCAACTATTTTCCTGGCAAGATTTTGCATTTGCTGTGCTCGATGATGAAGGTTCTGCATTCGCTCCAGTCCCATTCGCTCCTAAAGAAGCTCGAAAGACAACTGAGCAGACTTTTTTGCTTTTTGCTGAGCGCCAGTGATTTGCAGATCTTACCTTCTCAGTTCTTGTGCGCCTCTTCATTCTCGTCTTTCCACCCACATCAAGGTCATCCAATTCCTAGAGAAATTTAACATAAAGCAGTAAGCAGAAAGATAGCGACTTCTACAAAGTAAGCGGATTTTGTTGAGCAAACCTTTGACCTAGACATATCCTCTGAAATATTATGACCATTTTCATCGAAGGCCGATGATGGTCTTGTATAAGCCTGATCAGCACAGGAAAGTTCGTTATTCTCACAACTCCAAGTTGTCCTCCAACTTGTGGATGGTTCCGAACCTGCTGCACTGCCTCCATTCAGAACCTTAGAAATATGTTTAACCTGAAAATGGCAATAGTAAAAATTGTCAAAACAACAAGCATTAAAGGTATGTTAAAGCCAAGACCTCAATCTTAGTAAATAAAGCTCTGCTAGCAGCAGACGGGGCGCGTAAAAGAGTAGGACTTCTTGTGAGCGCGTCATCGCGCGGGGTTGCGGGAATACCAAACTACAAGGACCTTAATTCATCTGCGACCAACACGAAAAAAACCGTATAATAAAAAAGCTTACGTCAGAAACAGGACTCCGAGACCTTGAAGCGATGAATTGATAAGACGTGTCTAGAGGGGAACAACTCGATGGAGTTCCGAAGGTTGGCGTTCTTGGAACGGTACAACTCTGAATAAACTCCCATCATTACAATTAACAATTTGGTGACATATCCTTAAAAATCTCAGCAATACACCAACAAAAACCAAGCAAAAGTCCTACATCTTCCACCATCAGCTCCTTTCTTGATTGGTCCATAAATGGATGAAGGCTCGAATCCACTAGGCTACAGTCATGATCATTCCAAGTATTTGCAGGTGACTAAACACATCCTTCAATTAGGTTGCACAGATAGTTTGGAAAAATGAAAAAAATTGTTTAAGAGAACGAAGTCCTTATAAAAGCTGAGACTGTTTCCAGCAAAAAATCTGGAAGCACAACTTGCTAGTATTAGAGCCTTAACTTTTTTTTCTGGCCTTTTCTTTAGAAGGTATAAGATTTGTTCTTTGGAAAAGGTACTGGGCTCGTGGACTTCTGATAATGCAGAACAGTCAGTCTGGGACTCAGTTGTTACGAATGTAAACAGCAGCCTAGCCTTTTTGCTTGAGCGGATGCAAGAAAGGCCTATAAAGTTTAAAGCATCGAGAACGAAGGCGTGATATGTGTAGTTTGGAATAGAAGAAGTTAGGATGTAGATGATACCATTGATGCAGTGAAGATGGAAACAACCTCAACTCGTGAAACACTTTCAATCTGCGAGATAAC